TATATCAACAGAACTATAATTTCCAAGTCACAGTATATTAAACTTCCATATATTTTATACTGGCAGAACCCCACCTTGAATATGGTCACAAGCCACAGTCATCCCCATCTTCAAAAAGGGAGACCCCAGCCTAGTTGAAAATTACAGACCAATCTCCTTATGCTGTGTCAGCTGTAAAGTCATGGAATCAATTATTAACCAATCCATCATCCTCCACTTAGAGACAAACAACCTACTCTCCAATAAACAATTTGGTTTCAGAAAAAAACTATCCTGTAATCTGCAACTCTTACACTGCAAAAACATATGGACTACACAACTTGATCAGGGCAAAACAATAGATGCAATCTACATAGACTTCTGTAAAGCCTTTGATTCAGTGGTACATGACAAACTACTACTAAAAATAAAATCCTATGGTATCTCTGGACAACTGCATAACTGGATAGAAGCATTCCTGTCAAACAGACAACAAATGGTCAAAATTGGGAGCGTCCTATCTGTACCTGTCAATAGTGGTGTCCCCCAAGGCAGTGTTCTAGGACCAACTCTCTTCATACTCTACATAAATGACCTCTGTGATCATATTAAGAGCAACTGCGTTCTTTTCGCTGATGATGTAAAGCTGTTCAATACCACAGACAATACTGCTACCCTTCAAAATGATCTTGACTGTGTATCAGAATGGTCAAACAAATGGCAACTTCAAATCTCAACAAATAAATGCTCTGTCTTACATATTGGCAAAAAAAATCCGAAAATAAAATACAAGCTGAATAGTCAAGATCTTGTTGATGATCCAAGCTCTGTAAAGGACCTTGGAATACTCACCTCTAATGATCTAAGTGCTAGTGCCCACTGCAACTACATAGCCAAAAAGGCATTAAGAGTTGTTAACCTAATCTTACGTAGCTTTTTCTCTGGTAACATCACACTACTAACTAGAGCATACAAAACATTTGCTAGACCAATACTCGAATACAGCTCATCAGTCTGGAACCACATTACGTATCTGATATTAGCACAATTGAGAAAGTCCAGAAATATTTCACAAGAAGAGTTCTCCACTCCTCTACTCGTTGTAGAATACCTTATGCCACCAGACTTGAAATTCTAGAACTAGAAAACCTTGAATTACGCCGTCTTCGGTCTGATTTAAGCATGGTATATAAAATCATACATTGCAATGTCCTACCTGTCAATGAATACTTCAGCTTCAACCATAACAACACAAGAGCACACAACAGATACAAACTCAAGGTTAACTGCACCAAGCTTGATTGCAGGAAATACGACTTCAGCAACAGAGTGGTCAATGTCTGGAATACTCTACCCGACTCTGTAGTTTCTTCCCCAAACCCCCAAAACTTTAACTTTAGACTGTCTACTATTGACCTCACCCCTTTCCTAAGAGGTCTGTAGGGGGCGTGCATAAGCACACCAACGTGCCTACCGTCCCTGTCCTATTGTTTCTTTTATTTTTCTTTCATTTTTCTTATATGTACTCATTTCATGTATTCATAATTATGTATACACTTTTACTTATTATCTCGTAAACAATTGACAAATAAATAAAATAAATAAATAAAAAATATTTTATCCAGTTTTGGATAATATGTCTGAATCTTTCAGAAAAATTGTAACAGATTCAAAAAGGGCAAGTTGGATGATAATGAGTTAGAAATATGCAGAGAAACTGAAGGAGCTGGGCACATTTTTATTTTTTAAGAAAAGAAAATAGGTGATGTGGATGGAATATGATAGTACTCTTCAACTGAAGAGCCGTCCCACATAAAAAGATTAAGACTTATTCCCTATTATTCCAAAATCTAGGAGAGGGGATAAGATATATCACTTTCAGGAAAGCAGTTTCCAAATGAATGTTAGAAAACAAATTTCATAACAGTAAGCGTAATTCAACTACTCAGATCAATGCTGTGCTTCCTTGCACCCACGTGCTCAAAAACTAGACTTTCTCAACTCTGGCATTTTAAAGATGTGTGAACTTCAACTCCCAGAATTGCCACGGCAGAATTATAACCAACCATAACTAAAATATATTAGTCTACATAAAAATTAAATAAAATTTCTATGATGTTATAAATAAATGGCAATTATAAATATTAAAATATTAAAACTTTTAATAACATCTGCAGTAAAATTCCATTAAAAGTTTATTTCTTTAAATTCATTAAATATTCAGTTTTGTGATTTCAACATAAAGTAATTTTTCCCTCAAGGGGGATTCCAAAAATTTCTCTACCCAAACCAGAACAGTAAAAAAAATATTGTGAAAGGTCTATGGATTTATTGGAACATAGATACAAATGCATACTATATGATTTTTTTTAAGGAATTAGCTCTTCCTAGTAGCATTTAATGTAAATGTAGATATTGACTGAAATCATAATACAATAATTGTCTCTTTAAATGATGGAGCTATTACCCATCTTAAACAGTATTCACAATATTATTTGGGTTTTATTAAAGATTTATCAAAGGACAATGTATGAAAATTTAGAAAGATTTCTTTGAGCAAAAATGTCTAAAATCTATTTTATCTAGTTAACTATTGTTTGTTATTAAAATTCCAAAAATATCTGGAAAAAAAACCAAAATAATGCACATGAATAGTTAAGAGTATAAATCAGTAAGTACAATGTGATTGGATTCAAAAAGCACAACATGATGTGCCTAACTGCTAATTAAATGCCCTAACAATTATTTTGGCCTTAATTGAGTATGTCACAGTTTCTGCATACAGATCAGAAACAGGTGTGCTCTTAGGTATACTTACTGTAGTTCTAGAGAGCGTATTTTGGAAAAATCCCATGTCATAACGATTAGAAATCTTCATTAAATCAAATAGGATTCCATTCCTATAAACAAATGTTTAAAGTGTCATCATTCAAACTTAATTTTAAAAAATCCATTAAGATCTCCCCGAAGCAACATATAAACCTATAAACAATAACAACCTTGATCTTTAATCTTTTTGAATAATGTCTCACAAATTTATCTTTTCCTTTTTGTCTTTTAGAAATTACTTTGCAAATAGGATTGCATTCCTGACATACTTTCCCTAGAAAACATTGAATAAAAAACCTGAAATTTACTTCTAAGTACTGCAAATGTAAGACTGGCAAGGCTGTAACATACCATCATTGACCAACATTGATCCAATGATTTTGCAAAAAGTGACCTAATTAATTTAGTGTAAATCATTTAATACATTAATACATTAAAAAAGAAACAAAGATACAGAAATATGAAAAACCTACTTTTAGATAGGATATTCATTAACTATTAATCTATTTAAAATAAGTATTTTGTAGTCACACATTGATTTGTTGTATGCAGGAATGTTAGAAATAATATTGTACAATGTTTTTTGAAGATGTTATTATTTTTGTATGTAAAGATTAAATATTTACATAAATGCTAAACCATGATTTATTGAATATCTTTAATTGGCATTTTCAAATATGACAACCTTAAAAAAACTATCCATAGTCCTACAAGATTTAGCTTAAATTAATAACCAACTTCCTGGGTTTGACTTACAACCACAATTGGGACTGGAACTTACATCTCTAAACAAGACAGTTATTAAATGACTCACAACTTATTTTAAGACCTTTTTTGCCACAATCATTAAGTGAGTCACCAATTGTTAAACCAAATTTGGCTTTCCTCATTAATCTTGCTTGTTAATACCTGATTGGGAAGGTTATAAATGGCAGTCACATGATCCTGGGACACTAGAGGTGATAAATACATGTAAATTACAAAATGTCCAAATTTTGAACATGTGATTGTGGGTACACTGCAACAATCATAAATACAAGGACCAGTCATAAGTCACTTTCTTCAGCATTGTCATAACTTTGAACAGTTGATAAACACATGACTATGAATCAAGGACTACTTGTATTTCCTTAAACAAGGGGTGTCCAACTCACATCACGGCATCATCACAAGAACATACCATGACTTTTACCCCCTTCACTAAATCAGGCATGGGCGTGGGTGTGGCCAGTACATGATGCATGGACCCATGGTTCGCAAGTTTGACAGCCATGCCTTTAAACCAAGGGTCTTTAAACTTGACAAGTTTAAGACTTGTGGACTTCAACTCCCAGAATTCCTGAGCTAACAGGACTGGAGGAAGAATTCTGGAAGTTGAAGTCCACAAGTCTTAAAGCTGTCGAGTTTGAATACCCCTGTTTTAAACCATCTTCATCATTATCAGAATATTGCTACTTTCTCTTTTGGTGTGCATGCAATGTCACAACAGTCATAGAAAAGGTGCAAGACTGAACTACAGCACCACAACAATTTTTTATCCCTCTGGTTTCTTCTGTGAAGGTGATGAATTAAAGGATGAAATCCTAGATGCTTATTTGGGGCACACGCTTTAAATGTGGGGTTTGCTGACATATAAAGAACATGTCTGAAAGCAATCCTGCGAGATAAACCTGTCCCACCCAGTCACATGGAACCTACTTCTGAGTAACGAGTAGGCTTACGCGCCCAGCAACACAGTCAACGAAGAAGACCTAAATTTGAAGGATTAAATCCCTCGGATTCCTAAATGGCAAAACTCTGAATCTATGGCTCATAGTATGGCTATGTAGCTTATGCTTCCTTTCCGACGTGCCGTATTGTCCTTGGAACGTTCACAAAGCAAACATTCTTAATTATCCCCGCGCGCCTACATTTGTTAATTCCTCCTCCGGAAACTGTTATCTGGGTTTTCAATACTTAGTTTCATCATCACAAACATAGTTTCAATATATATATATATATATATATATATTTAAAAAAATAAAGGACATCCGGCTTATACCATTCTCATCAGAAAAGAGGAGGAAGCTTATGCTAAGTGCTTCGCCCAATTTTATACAAGACGGGCAAGGACTGGCGAGCTCGAAAGGGCATAGCCATAGCTAGAAACGGCGCCACCCGCAGCTTCCCCGCGGAGAAACGTTTTCCAATTCCCTTCCTTTCGTGGCAATGGTTTGATCCGGACTTCCTCCGGTTTGGGGTAGCGTCGAGAGGTCACGGGGAGGTTGCCGTTTGTTTCAGAAGAGTAACTAATTGCAGACTATGGCGTATTCTGGTCCCGGAGGAGGCTATTTCCAGGGCGGGGTAAGGCAGCTTGAAGCGCAAAAAGAGCCTCCTCGGACGTTCCCGGGCGCCGTCTCCTTTTGGCGTCAGCGGGGAACGGTTTGACTTCGCTGGTGGAAAGCGGTTTGCCTGATTACGTTCGCTGCAGGGATGTGGAAGGTGGTACCGCTTAGGGAGGAGAAAAACCTCTCCGGGTGAACCCAGAGCCCGAAAGCCGCTTGGGTGGTTCCTCCAGCGGGACCTGACTGGGTGGGGTGTGGTGGAATTAACGGGAACATCTTTGCTTTGTAAAGCGGAGCCACGCTCAATGGGCGCTTAGAAAGTCCCGCTTCCGATTTACCGGAAGACTCGAAAAAGCCTCCGCCCTTCGTATAATTCCACGAGGCTCTGCCAGTAATTGTCGGCGCAACTGATCGGGTTTACACGTTACGCTAAGCCATTTTTTTTCTTCTGGTCTTGATTTATCCAGTAAGCTGTTGGTTGTTCGGTAATCATACCGATCATCCAGTAATTTGATCGGTATACTAAGTTAAAGCTGCTGGGTTTTAAGGGCAAGACCTTAAGGTGGACTGTTGCGCAATTTCAAGAGTCTGCTAGCTAAGGGAGAAGCAAGACGCCTACAGTGATCTGAATATAGATAGCCCAGAACGTGTACTTTACTAAACCGAAACAAAAGACGACCCCTGAATTTGGCGCAAATCCTGTGTGTTTTGACGAATTAATTTTAATTCGGTGTACCGAATTATACCTCTCATGAGTTAAAATCAGGGGTCCCCAAACTTGGCAACTTCTAAGATTTAGGGACCAACTCCCAGAATTTTCCACCGAACTATACTGGCTGGAGAATTCTGGGAGTTGAAGTCCACAAATCTTAAAGTTGCCAAATTTGGAGACCTTTGAGTTAAATGAATGCCCCTTTCTTTGCATTGGAATTTCCAAGCTTCTACTTTTGGTGTAATTTGCACAGTATTGCAAAGAAATAGATTATTCTATTTGCATAATAGTACTCTAGAATATGGAGTAAGGTGATTGAGGGTTTAAATTGTATTATCTTAATTTCTGGCTGTATATTTTCAGCTGCACGTTTGAAATAGAACTCATGTAGACATGTAATGCTAGTCAGATGTCAATCCTCAAGTTAGTCCAACTCCCACATTCTTATGTATGGTTGTTTTAAAGAGAAAATTATTATTTAAATAAATAATTATTATTAGATTTTAAATATCTAAGGTATCTCTGCTTGCCCAGTTGAACTTCTGTTTCACACTTGGGTTGCACCAACTTTCCATTGTTATTGTGTAAATATCATTTCCTGAAACAGATCAGAGCAATGAACCATGTCCTGCTTCTCTCCCTATATTGATCTTCTAATAATTCTGTAGAAGTTGAACTTGATTTGCAAGATTTTTTTAATTATTTTTTTTAAACAAACATAAACACACATAAACATAAAACAACAAATAAAACCATCTTTCCATTGTACAGTGTGTTGGTTGGTACATATCTTTTGTGCACAATAGCAGCAGTCTTCCCCTTTTACATTTAAGTTATAATTCATATATATCAACTATGTATATTATTTTGTTATTAACACCTTATTAGACTTCAATTATAAATTCACATCATTCTTTTCAAGCAATCTCAACTATTACATGATCTAATACATAATATTCATTTCATTATAATTAATTATAACATCATTACTTTATCATTACTAATATTTTATTTCCCTATTTTCTTGTCTAGCCATTGATAAAATAAAACCCAAATTTTATAGTATTCTTTGTCATCACTAAGCGAACTGTTGTAAGTTGAGGACTACCTGTACTATGTTAAATCTAGTATTTATAACTATGAATGTTGCACATGACCTATTTTATTATGACTTCATACAGGCATAGCAATTCCTGGCAGAGTGATCTTCCTCCTTCCACAAGTAATCACTGCCATGAATGTTAGGTGCATTTTTAAAAAGTCTTTCATTATGCCAACCGAACTGAATTTGTATATGCCTACTTATTTCCTTTTACCAACTGGTGAACTATGAACTTTGTACTATACTTAATGAATAGATTTGCTAAGCAAAGAAGGCACTTCCTTATATAAAACAAACAGTTCTGCTAAGATATTTTGTTTCTGGGTAATTCTAGCTTATTACAATGAAAAAGGACATGGGTTGCAGCCAACAATCATTTGAATTTTTGTTTTCTCCTTACCTATTGCACTAAAATCATGCTCACAGTTTTACATATGGTATGAACTCAGCACCATGGCTATTTCAGCAAAGCATTGCTAAAAAAAACCAAGCTTAGTGCAATTAACAGCTAGTAATTGAGAAACCTTACAGTGCATATAGGTAGTCCTTAACTTACAACCACAATTGAGCTTCAAAATTGTATTGTTAAATGAGATATTTGTTATGAGACTTTTACCCCATTTTATGATCTTTCTTGCCAGAGTTGTTAAGTGAAACATTGAAGTTGATGAATTAGTAACCCAGTTATTAAGTGAATCTGGCTTCCCCATTGCCTTTGCTTGTCAGGTCACAAAAGGGGATCACATGACCTTAGGACACAATGGCCATCATGAACCAGTTGCCAAGTGCCTGGATTTTGATCACATGACCATGGGGCTGCTTCAAAAGTCATAGGTCACATTTTTTTCAGTGCCATTGAACTGTCATTAAATGAACTGTTATAAGTTAAGGACTATTAGTATTCAGGAATATTCTACAGACCTCAGAGCTCTCATTTCCTAAAACCAGTCAAGTATTTTTATCTCAGATTTGGGTCCTGTTGTTTTTTCCCCTTCCAATGAAAAAGAAAATTGTTCCATGTCAAGGTTCATGTAACTGAAGGGCCTAACATGGCCATTTAGTTTTCCAATTGCAAAACGTGTGCATTTGTTAACAGAAATGAGAGGCTTTGGAATATACTGGTTTAAGACTGTATTTTATAAATGAATGAATTATTCTGTCTGGGGATAAGTGACTGGATATACTGTACATATGTGCACAGAATTTTCCATTATTGTTGGGAATTTTTCTTGGAGAGAAGCAGAATAGTGTTCTGCCAGTAGATTGAATCTTCTTCCATTCCCAATATTTCATCAGCTGGTCTTATGACTGTGCTTTGTCCAAATCCCTACAATGGTTCAGGATATACCTCCTAAGTTAAGGGTCTTCAAACTTGGCAAGTTTAGGACTTGTAGACTTCAACTGCCAGAATTCCCGAGCATGAACATGACTGGAGGAGGAAGTCCACTTCTGGGAGTTGAAGTTCACAAATCTTAAAGCTGTCAAGTTTGAAGACTCCTGCCCTAAGTAATAATTTTATACTATGTGGCTGAAATATTACACCTTTTACTGGTTTGACCAATCAATTAATCTCCTTCCTTGTCTCATAATTATATAAAGTATGAAAAGAAACATGGATTGCTTCCAGAACATGGATTCTTTAGAAATTGAGGGTGCTCCATTACTGGAGATTCTAAAGAAGGGATTGGATAGCCATTTATCTGGACTGGTTAGGCTTCAGCAGAGTGTTGGACTAAAAGACATCCATGATCCTTTCCTGTCATTCTGCATTCTGATGGATTAAGTTGACCTTTCTCTAGATAATGTAAAATATTTATTAATGCATGCAGTCATACATAGGAGGCTGTCAGTCTATTGAAACAATATTGGTATGAAATGCTTCTTAAATATTCGTGCTTTTTTGTTATTTGCAATTTAGGTAAGTAAAAAATAATAATAGGATTTTACTTCTTTTCTAGTATGGAAGTGCTCCAGGTGGACCAGCATTTCCTGGTCAGGCTCAAGATCCATTATATGGTTATTTTGCTGCAGTAGCTGGGCAGGTATGATTTTATGCCTTGTTGGTAACAAGATTGGTGATCCAGATATAGGCTGTTAGTTATTTTTTTTTAAACTGGTTATGTGATATTTCTTATTTTTTTATTCAAAATATAAATTGTGTCTTCTGCAAAGTATAAAAATGGATAAAAATTGGGAATATACAATATAGCTGTTTTTTTTTTTTGAAGTGTATGTCTTGCCTTTATTTCATCATAAACAGATTAATTGCATACTTTTTCCTCAGTGGAGATATCTTCACAGCTATATTCCACCATTCATTCATCTGAATGGAAAACAGTAATATATACTTGTTAAGGTTGCATTGAAGAAAGAATACTGGAAAGAATTGTATAAAAAATTGTTGCAACCAAGGATCAGAGATTTCCTTGCTAGGCCTCAGAGAAAATTCCTGTTTGTTCTTATATGCCCAAGTAGCGTTATATATGAATGTCCCCCATTCATATGTCAGAATCTGATTATGTCCTTGATCCCACAATACCTGCTACCTTGTTGGGAAATTTGGGGGGGCCTAAGAAAATAAAGCTGGATTGACATTGTTTGTGTTTTCAAAGGATGGGCAAATAGATGCTGATGAGCTACAAAAATGTCTGACTCAGTCAGGAATTGCTGGTACCTATAAACGTAAGTTTGGCAAATTAAATAACACTTCTATGTATGACTTTCACTGTAGCATAAATTTTCATGGACTAGAATCCTTGACTTGAATGAGAAGTTAAAGATTACTTTAATTCCCACGCACTCCATTCAGTTTGGCAGTGGTTTGGCATTATGGGTATTATGGATCACAACTCATTGTCTTGACTTGACCAGATCTGATTAATACTTTGATCGAAGTACACCAGGTTAATAGAATAGACTGGAAAGTTTAAAAAGCATTTCAGAAGAAAGCAATGGTAAACCACTTCCACATGTTGTGAAAATAACATGGGCATGTCTATATATAGGTATATAAGTTATGAATGTAATACAGCCTGCCAATTACATTCGTAACTTTCATTTCATTAACGGGATCACATTAATTGAACATGATTTACCCAGTGCATTCCTTAATCAAATGCTCAGGTCATGAAGTGCACATGAGGTATCTCAGGATGGGAAACCAGGCCCAGTGCTTCTGACCACCCAAGGTCCCCATGGCCTGACCCACTGAAATATTTCATGCTCCCCTCCCCCTCCATTCTGCCCTATCAGGTCTCCACAGGCAGATCTCGATGATGATCTTGATGATCAAGCAAACTGTGTCCCCTCTAGTCTCTCTGCTGTAGTTTCTTTGCCTGAGTCCCTGCAGGCTCTGGTCATCTTTGCAACAAGCTTTTGGCACGAAGAACAGAGGCTGGGAGGGCCATGCAGGCCGCTCCTGGCCTCCATTCTTTGTGACAAAAGCCTTGAGGAAAGTCAGCCAAGTCCTATAGGAACCAGTGATTGCATTCCCAAAAGCTATGGTTGTCTTTGCAAAAAGCTTTTGGCATGAAGAATGGTGGCTGGAAGCACCGCAAACACCCTTTCTGGATTCCGTTCTTCACATCAAAATCTTTTTTGCAAAGGTGACTAAAGCCTGCCAGGAAGCAATCACTGGCCCTTGCAAGACTTCTCTGGCTTTCCTCAAGCTTTTTGGCATGAAGAATGGAGGCCAGGAGCACCATACGAGCCTCTCCCAGCTTCCGTTCTTTGCGCCAAAAACTGTTGGAAAAGACAACCAGAACCTGCAGGGATGCAGGCAAAGAAACCAGCAGAGAGTCTGGAGAAGACACAGCTCACTAGATCTTTCCAAGGTAAGTGAGTCTTCACAGGCCCAATGCCTATGGATATCCATTGGGAGTGTGTGTGTGTGTGGGGGGGGGGGGGGAATAGGCAGGGCGAATGTTTCAGTGCCTCTATGGTTGTTTGAGTTGTTTACAGTTGGTGAGCAATTGCTGTGGTGCTGCAACATTAGTAATCTTAGGACTGTGTCGTAAATAGTTTGGGGGGAGGGATTTTGTAATTTCAAATGGTTACTAAAGGACATAATGCAAGGATTATCTGTAGTGATTAGTGATCAAATTTAATTTGATAAAGTACTTTGATTACCATATTTTCTGGACTATAAGACACTCTGAAGTATAAGATGCACCTAGCTTTGGGGGAGGAAAGCAAGAAAATAAATAAATCTGCCTCCCATCAATTTGCCTCCTTGCAGCAAATAGCAAACAGCCTGGTCAGTTTCAGCACAGCCTGATTAGTACAAGGCGGGGATCGGAATGGCCCAAAAATGGGGCACGCGGAGGCAAAAAATGGGGTGTAGAGGTTGAAAATGAGGCACGTTAAAGCGGCAATAGGCAATGGCAATTTCTGCAGCCTGAAACAGCTGATTGTCAGGAGGCAGATCCAACCGACAATCAGCTGCTTGTGCTGTTTTCTGTTTTCTGCAAGGAGGCAAATTGCTGGGAAGCAGAGGCCGAAAGATGGAGGCTGGTGGGTGGGCGGGGCTTCAGCAACATTCACTCTGTAAGACACACAGGCATTTCCCCCCACTTTGGAGGGTGGAGTGCGTCTTATACACTGAAAAATACAGTAACTTTTACTTATATTTGAATCGGTGGAAATTTCATAGCATTATAGGAAAATGTTTAGACTATTTCTCTGTCTTAAAATTTGTTTTCCTAGTATTGCAGAAACAAATACACATTAATTAGTGACGCGTAAAATGTCTTTATCTGTTACTTATTTGTCCTGTTTTTTAAAACAGCCTTTAATTTAGAAACTTGCAGACTCATGATCTCCATGCTTGATGTATCCTTCACTTGTCTAGCTCTGATTTCTAATGCATTTGTGGATTGGAAGAAATACCTTCAGGTAATGGAGAGCACTTTGGCAGCTGAAATCACTTTTAGCTTTTACATAGAATATTCTGAGCTGGTTTCCGCCCAGCCCCAATTTCCTGACAATTAGAACAATTAATCAGTGGAAAGACTTGCCTCTATAAGTTATGAGTGATCCAACACTGGAGGTTTTTAAGAAAATATTTCATTTGTCCGAAATGATAAAAGGTCTCCTGCCTGCCTGAGCAGAGTTAGACTAGAAGACTTCCAAGGTCCCTTCCAACTCTGTTATTTTGACCATATTGTACATTATGATATGAAATCTGCGCTATGTAAAGTTGTCCATAGAAGAGTATTTTAATAAACATTTCTTTCCATGAACGTTTTTATCTATAGCCATGATAGCGAACCTATGGCACGCGTGCCACAAGTGGCATGCAGAGCCATTTGTGCTGGCACGCAAGCCGCAGGCAAACTTACCTCACTGCTGATTTTTTTTCCGGTTGGTTTGAGGCCTTTTTCGGCCTCCCAGAGGCTTGGAAAAAGCCTTTGCAAGGCTTCTCAGGCCGAATGATAGGCCCATTTCATCACTGGAAGAGTACAGGAAATGTACCAGTACAGGAAGTGATGAAATGTGGCTATAATTTGGCCCGAGAAGCTTTGCAGAGGCTTTTCCCATGCCTCTGGGAGGCTGAAAAAGGCCCCAAACCAGCCGAAAAATCAGCTGTGAGATGCAATGCAGGTCAGGGGGTGGGGTGGGGATTGCACGCACATGCGCAGGGGGCATGTGGAGGGGGCATGCGCATTGCATTCTGGGTGCTGGCACATGAGTACAGGCGTGCTGGTGTGCTCGCAATTTTTGGCACAGGAGCCCCAAAAGGTTAGCCACCACTGATCTATAGGGTAGCCAACATGATTGGGTTGTGTTGGAATTGTTTGAAATCCATGTTTCATTGCTAATTGAGTAGACTCTGCACATACTTTAGAAATTTAGGTATTATTTTTCCATTAAAGTGTTTCACTGGTATCCTTTGCTCTGTGTGTTTGTGCATGCGTGTGCGTTGAGAAGAAATAAATTGATTTCCATAGGTTTTGCACCAAAATGTGCAAAAAATTGCAGTTGAATTCAATGATTTTTCAGCAAAAAATAAGTCATGAGTGATCATCTACCCTTGATATCAGAGCTGCAATTCTGTAAACAATGAGTATCTTGCATTTGTTTTGCTATTAGTATGGTTTGATCCTTAACAATAATCTAGAGAGACATGTCTGGCACAATGGGCTTCAATGAATTTAAAGAACTTTGGGCTATACTGAATGGTTGGAGGCAACATTTTATGAATGTTGATGCAGACCGCAGTGGAACAGTTGATTCTCAGGAGCTACAAAAAGCATTGTTGTCCATGGGTGAGTGGTAGAACTTTTCTCCGGCTTGGATTAATGGCCACAGGAAAAACCTATGGAAGAATCCTGAATGTCCCCTAACCTGTAATTCTTCTGATTTCTCAGAACTTTAACTCCCAGAATTCTCCAATTGTGTTAAAATTCAATCAGACTCGGGAAGTCCTAGTCTAGTCCTTGTAAATCTCAGTTTCTGTAGTAGTAGAAACTATTAATATACTTCTCCCCAATCTTCTCTTCTGCAAGCAACATATACTTAGTCCCCTTTAACCATTAATCACCAGCTTTCACTTTCTATCATCTCAGAGAAATTATTCTTGAATTCAAATTTGTTAGTAGTCCTTTTGGACTGAATATAGTATTACAAAGGGGACTGACCAAGACAGAGTTGAATAGGAATAGCATTTGCCATTATCCAAAAATCCATTAAGCTGGTATAGTTCTAGCAAGGGGAGTATGGCTTGCCTGTTTTATCACAAATCTATACTTCCTCCTCCTAATTGTTATTCTTTTGGAGCTGTACATCATTCCATTTCTTTTTAGCATTTAAAAGTTCTATATATATCCACTTGGTTTTCTTGGAGTTTCCTTTTGGGGGTGGGGGGTAAAGATTGTTATCAATTATGCTTCCATTATCTTATTTTGCAGGACTTCCTGTTGTTCTTAGACTTCTAGAAACATAATTTGGAATAACACTGATGCTAGAGATTGGTGTTCTGTTTTGCAGTAAAGCAACTGTCCATCTGACTTTTTACAGTCATTTTGTAGTTGTCCTTACTGAAAATACACATTATCCAATAATGAATATTTCTGATATAGGAAATTCAACATATTTGCTTTCTTTTGTGCCTTTTATTTATTTAGGATTTAGATTGAGTCCACAGGCCATCAATGGAATTGTGAAACGATACAGCTGTCGTGGAAAGATCAGTTTTGATGACTATATAGCCTGCTGTGTAAAACTCAGAGCTCTTACTGGTATGATTTACTTCACAACAATTACTGAATTTGACTGGTATTTAATTTCTCCTTTTATCAAGTAAATTTTTCCCCCTGAAATACAAAGCATGATGAAATGGGCTATGTAAGCCATCCAGTCTGTTTATCTTAGGAAAACAAATTTAAACCATTTTTAGCAGAAGACTTTTCAACCATTGGATGAAGACTTTTCTGAATGGTCAGGCCATCATCATTAATATTTTGCTTATCATTAATATTTTGCTTGAGGTTCAACTGAGTTTTACTCTCATAGTAGCTTAAGCCCATCAGATCTAGTCCTAATAATTTTACTCCAATTTTTTTTATCTAGGACATTGAAAATGTTCCAATATTGAAGTATTTTATTCTATTTCTGAATCTTTTTTCGAGGTTAAATCATGGATACAATTTTTTAAGAGCATCAAACCTAAGAAAGAAAAATCTATACATTTTTGATTGATAAGGGATTAGAACTTGTAGATTTATAAAATGTATTAATAATTTAATTTTTGGGCTTAAATTAATGAGTAGATTATTGACCAGGAGTTGTTATGCAGTATTGCAGGCTAATTCTGTTGACTGTCCTCACCAGCTCAAAGTTGACGCAGCCTTCCATCCTTCCAAGGTTGGTAAAAGGAGGACCCAGATTATTGGGGGCAATAGGCTGACTCTAAACCACTTAGAGAGAGCTGTAAAGTGATATATAAGTCTAAGTGCTATTGCTATTGTTCAAAAACGATTTATTGTGTTTGTCAAGTTAGTTTTAGTTGGTTTTTCTGAAACTGAGTTATAATAAGACTATTTTTTCTTCTAATATGTGATTTGCCATCTAATTCATTTTATTTTGTTTTTTACAGATAGTTTTCGAAGAAGGGATGCAACCCAGCAAGGGATGGTGAATTTCCAGTACGATGATGTAAGAGGTTCTAAATCTTTCCAGCTAGAAATGCAAAACATAGAGATGCATCGTTAAATGCTTTGAACAGTGATTTCGATATCAGTTGTTAAAATTAGTTTTCAGATTAGATATCCCTTCTTCCATTGAACTTTTTTTTATAAAATGTTATATAGCTGTGCCTCTGCCTTCATTAGGAGTAATTCCCAGATAATGGATGGCCTTTGAGGATCATAAGTCTTTTATATGGCAATGGTGAAAGCCACATGATCAGTGATACCTTATTGTCTACACCAGAAGTGGGCAATAACTTTTTCCATGGGGACCACATGCGAAACTGGGACTGTTTTGGAAGATTGTCCTTCCTGCTACTGAACCCCCCCTCCCCTGCTGGATTGGAACAAAGGGCCAGAGGAAGCTTATGGCCCTAAAATTCTCAATCCTACACCAACCTTACCCAAATTGGTACATATTCCATATGTGTTTTAGTTCCCAGAATTGTGATGGCAATTGGCAAGAATTCTGGAAGTTGAGGTCATTATGATTGGAGGGCCAGAATGGAAGTAACTAGTTTATAGCTAGTGGCAACAGTCCAATATATTGGTAGCTTTTGAATATTGGATTTTGGGGGACTCATTTCCAGCCTTACTTGGGAGCACTATCAATTGAGCCTAATGTTTTTTTGTATACAAAGCATATATCATCGAGCTACATGTGCTATTCCACTTTAACGTCAGGCATTTTCCAATAGATCGTCTCATGCCACATGCTGGATTGCACTAGCTTCATGCTGGATGCTAGTCTATGAGTCTTAGTTCTTACTGAAGTCCCAACTTGCTCCCTCACTGCCCCAAAATGCCAAATATATTTCCAGTAGTTAGCAAAGTGATTAAAAGATGTATAAGCTGTCGAACAGTATCTTAAAGAACATCAGTCTTTCTTGGCAAGAATTGACAACCATTAGATAATGATCCTATGGTTCTTCAAATCAAGAATTTGCAAGATGGTATTTGAAAGTGTCACTGCATTGACCACACCGTTTAGTGGTAGCCATATTCCCCAGTTGGTTTAAAATTATTTCCAATATTAAAAATGAATGAGAAGTTGTCCGTATAATTGTAATGATCTATTGTTGGATTCTAATTTAGATGCTAATTTTCAGTTCTCATCAAGCATTACACAATTTTAGGAATAATGAGTCCAAACTGCTGAAAGTTCACAGGTCCCCTCTACCTCTATATTACAGCCATCTTGCAATATAATTGCATTAAAAAGACTGTGATGACAAACTATACCTGATACACAATTTCTTCTTTTGGGCAGTTCATTCAGTGTGTCATGAGCATCTAACTCAAGAGTGAAGACAGACAAATGAGCATGGATCTACATTCTACATCACTTTGCTTTGCGCCAAACCAATATGCTGTGTAACTAAATTGTGATATTTGCATATTTTATAAATATTAATCAATATGCTTTTATAATTTTTATAACTAATGAAAGAAGGAAATACAATAAATGTTGTTTGAGTGGATCTGCCTTATATATTTATAATTTGCATAAGGAGAAAAGGAAACAAATTATTCATGTTTACATTTAATTTTTCTGTTATCATGTAAAGGTGATCACATTGGAACATGTCTTGTTATCAGTACTAGCTAGGAAGTTAAAATAAGAATGTATTGAAATGAATTCATAAAATGTGATAGGTTTATTTCTAGGAAGTTTTTTTAAAACTCAGAATAAACTAAAAGTTTGTCACTTTCTAAGTAGTAAGCAAAAGATTTGTCTAAGTGTTCAGTTGGCTGTCTTAATATTTTACTCTGGTGTTTATTTCATAGAATCTGCTCAACTGGGAGCTGATTTAGTTCCATTTGCTATTTTAGTTTAGTTTTTTATTTTACCCATTTAGATGGTTTTCCACCTCACTACCGTGACTCGCTCCTGCTGTATCACATATCTGCATGCAATGGAATTTTGGGGGGGTCAGGAAAAGAATGATTGCCTACATTACATTTTTTTTTTTGAAACACAAGTGCTCCCATCTAGTGGTATTAAAGTTGATGCATAAATTATGAATTTCATGGCAGTTGACAATTTTGGCTATGTTATTTTTTTTCTAGAAATATTTTTCCCATCCTCAAAATAAACACAACTTTCATGTTGTGTCTCTTGCAAAACACATCCTTTGTTTTAAATAAACAACTGCTTTACCAAACGCTTTCGCTTGACATATTTGGATCTATATGCATTGAATTGTACCATCAGACATAATATGGACTAAAATGTTACAGCCTATTGATTATAAGAACATACTTCTTTTATAATGAACGAACTCTAATTGTAGAAAATGTAGAAAATTACAGTAGAATCTGTCTTTAAATTATTCCCTTCCACTTTTCCAATAAGGGAGGGATTGACAGGTGACCAAGTTTAACAGGTGTAGATTACTTACAAAGAACTACATTAAAGCTACAATTTGTACAGGTAGTCCCCGACTTACAACAGTTCATTTAGTGACTGTTCAAAGTTACAATGGCACACAAAAGTTACAATGGTCATATTTTTCAAACTTATGACCATTGCAGTATCCCCAGTGGTCACATGACCAAAATTCAGATGCTTGACAACTGGTTCATATTTATGGTTGTTGTCTCCTGGGGTCATGTGATCAGCTTTTGCAACCTAAAAGCAAAGAAATCCTGATTTACTTAATAACCATGTTATTAACCTAAATGCAATGATTCATTTAATGATTGTGACAACTGTGAAAATTTGTAAAATGGGGCAAAACTCATTTCACAAATGTTTCACTTAACAACATAAATTTTGAACTCTATTGTAGTTGTAACTGGAGGACTACCTGAACTCATCTATCCCTACCCTGAATGTTTATAATCTGCCAGAATTCTAGATGTTTTTGATCAATAATTGGAAAAAGACAACCATATGAATTTCTTCTGAGTAGCTACATCTAAATGGAGTGCGCTTTCGCTGAACTTTTTGACAAGCTGCAAACTTCTGTTTTGTTAAGTACTCTCACATAGTTCACACAGTGAAAGCACTTCCTATTTTCTTATTTGTGGAGCTGGCCATAGGTATGCCTAGCTTCTTTGTTTCCAGGCTGTATGTTAAATTGGAATGGTACATGCTTTCCAGACTTATATATGAAATAAATCAAGAATTAGTTGAATTAGTTGTTCAGAGCTGCATATTACTTGCTGTAACAGTCTGGATATAATTTCATTAGTAGTCATAAATTTTCAGCAATTTAAGTGTTACTTGTGTTTTCAATAAGGTGTTGAGTATTAGCATTTGAACTGGAAAAAAAACCATACAGCATTATGTATCTGTATTAGTAGCAATGGCAGCAATAGTAATTAGCCATAGTTTTTAATAGGAATTTTTTAATCTTTTGAGGTTGGTTAACAGACTTATAATAACACTGCCATAAAAGGCATAGCAAGTCATAGAACATTCATTTGGCAAAAAACAAGGGTGTGTTTCCCTTTAGGCTGTGCCAGAAAGCTTTCACTATGTCATCTGCTATGTTTCTTCTACACCAAGAGAGTATACTTCTATATCAGGGCTATCAAACTCACGGCCTGCAGCCCGGATGTGTCACATGCTGGCCATGGCCACACCCTGTTTAGCGAAGTGGGGGAAGTCCAATACATCGTGACACCGCCATGACTGTGACATACCTGTTCTAAGTCCTTTTAGATTTTAGGAACAATACAGAAGAGATTTGCCATTACCTTTAAGATAATCACTAGCCTATAGATTATTACCCGTCTAAATTCTTAGCTTTATTAGGAAATTATAAGGTAAGCTAAATGGTGCCACCTTGAGCATATTTTGTAAATTAAAATGCTCAGTGCTAGAATTTGTGTTTATAATTTAATTCTTCCAGGCCAATTAGCACACCTATTTCAGATTTACAATACAATTTACAATACATAATTGCTTATTTCTGAAAAGTAAGTAGACATATTCATAATTGCAGTCATGATTTTCTTCCAGCTCTCACTTGTATCTTGCAAAGCAAACCTGGATTTTTAATTTTTTTAAAGAGCTCCATTGTGATCTTTTTTTTTAGTAGTAATGAATCCATTCCTGATACTAGGAATTGACAAGATTTTCTCAGCCAACAAACCTTAAAAGTAATAGTCTTCAATCAACACCATAATTAAACATTTTAAAGTACAATTGCCATGATTTGAAGATCACTTTTATTGACATAATGATACATTACTAACAATGTAATTATTTTGTATTAAATATTTTCATAGTAAGCAACTATGCTGATTCAAATATGCAAGATTTTATATCCCCAGGTTATAACTTTATTAAAAAGATTATTTTGTCCCATTACAAGAAAGCTGGCTTTATGAATTTTGATACAACAAAATTATTCAGCACTGCAGTGATAGAAAGGGTTTTGCATTGGAATTGACAAAATTTAATGTTTCAAGAAACACATGATTAGTTGCTATTACAGAAACAAGAAACAATATCCAGTGGTAAATACAGCTTTTTACACATGGGATAATTTTAATTATCTGAACTATATAACCAACACAAAAACACTACATCAAAAATCCAGTTTCTATATTTTTCACCAACTATGTTGAAGTATTAACACTGATAATGCTTTAGTGACAGATTTACAATATGGTAGTAATTATATTGAAAAAAAAACACAACAATTAATAGTTAAAAATTAAAATAAATTGCCAGCACACTTCCATAGAATGTTAGAATAGTGACCAGTATCCAGATAACTCAGTGGTACATTTTTGCTTAAAGATTTATAGTTTAATAAGCACCAGACCATATGCCCTAGCACATATATATTCTCAATATTTAGGCAAGTCAGCATTATCGTATCATAGTAAGATATGTGATACCTTAGGATTTGCAGAATTACAACTGTGATAGTTTACAGTTATTATCTAGCACCACTAAGCATCCAAAGGGCAGTAAAGCATATTTACAAGTGTTTCTAAATAGTTCGTAAAAAATATATCTTCAAAAATTTGAATATGTAAGGTCATAAGGCCTCTAAGGCTTTAAAAAAATACTTCTATGGCCATTTTTCTAATTTATAAAGACCAGAGGGATATTTTATTATGATTTTCATACTTGTAATTTAAATATGATTTACAAATGTATTTGTTAAATTCCCACTGTGCCATCTTCATCTTGCCTGATTGTCAAAATGATGTAGGGAAGATTGTCCCATACTAGCTTGTTTATATTGGTTATGTAATGCTTCCCACTTACATTATTAATTTATATCTTTTTTTTACTTTCAAATAGCTATGTTAGATTTTTTGGATTTCAAATTATGTTTTACAAAAGCTATGTTTCATTAGAACTGAAGATTAGAACCAATTGTTTTATAAGGTTAAGAATAATACAATTAGCAAACCTGGTGAGAAACTCAAAAAAATTACTGAATTACTGTAAATACTATCAGATTAAAAAAAGTCATTTTAAACCAGGTTTACACATCATGTAGAATTGCTGATGCCTTCTAAGCAGCACAAAAATAATTAGTAGCTATTACATATCCAAAATTCACTTTACAACTAAGACAATATTTCAGATAAAATGGAAAAGTGATCCTGTTTTTGTTTTTAAGCAGTTATGAAATCCTATAAAGCTCTGAAAGTTTCTCTATACTTGGCATTTTTTACTTGAGATTGATCTATTTTGAGGTTCAGTTGTAATGGACTGATTTCCCAGGTATTAATGATCATTTTTAAGTATTAGGTATTGTAGTACTAATACTGTAAGTATTAGGTATTAAGTATTGACCCTTACAGATTATGCTAATTTCAATATTGCTATGCTAAGACTGACTAGGAATTATGGAAGTTGAAATTATTTCTTTATGACTGCTTTAATTGTTCAAGTAAATTGTGCCAAAATATCCTTAAAAACATATCCTGATACCTCCATAATTCAGACTTATTCTCAGATAATCTATTCTGTTGGTTTTTCTTTGATTAAAACCATTCTGTATTGTTGTCTTGCTATAGTAATGCTAACACATGACTATAAGTTTGGAAGCAGTTATTGAGACAATATTCTTATTTTCTTTTATCTACATAACAAAGCTGAAGAGTGCTGGAATACTTATGCCATACCAAAATATTAACTATAAAAAGGTGAAAGGCATTAAATTTTCATGACCAAGAATTTTCTTTACAGTGGGTTGTATCCAGAGATGAGAGCACAAAGCCTCTGCTGCTTGTATAAAATCCAGCATTTGTTTATAATTTTGTTGTTAAATGATGTTTGTGGCAGTTATTTTAGGTGCACTTGTGATACATCATGCCATCATCAGCAGATCAACTACCCTCCATTTTGTTCTCTTGGATTTACGCCTTGGATGCAACCCATTCTGAGGAAACAACCATTATTGCCCGTTTATGTCAATTGAAAGACAAGTGGAAACTTGAAAGTTGCTATGCTCTTATCATGAACACAAAATATAAAATACATCAGCAACAGAAGTAATTAGAAGAAACATCCCTCCTAGCATTTTATCTGGACAATAGCTTGGAACTCAAAATCCATTTGCCAACTTTTATTGTCTTGGATTTACACACACTTTTGCTGACTGGCATCCATCACTTTTTAACATACCAAGACAATTCAAGCTTGTAAGCAGAGAAATCCTGCACTAGACCGTAGAAAACACCAGTTTATTAAAATTATATTTCATTTTACATTAAAATTATTAAGTGTCATGGTATTAACAAATATTAGCCATGATCAAATAATGGTCAATGACATTGTCTACAAATTAACTACAGAGGATGATTATTTTCTCAGTGAACAGTCTACAATCACCCCAGTTCTCACATTACATTCAGTTCTGTCTGAAAAGGAAAAGGGAAGGAAAAAAACCCACTTCCTTTGTTTTAGTAATTTAAATGGAAGACAGCAACAATGTCATTTTCTAACAACACATGGACTTACATCAAGCCAAAGATCCAAAAAGGCACATGTTAAGCTTCTAAAAATTAGCAAGAATTAAAAGTGATGGGGAAGATGATCTCTACTATAGCTTCACTTTAACTTGT